GAATGCCCCCCGCTCAGCACCGCCCTCCACAAGCCACTGCCTCTGTGTAACGTGACTCAGAGGTGGTCTCCAGGGACCCAGGATACTGCGGTGAGGCACCACCCCCACTTCCCATGTATGTTCACACCTTTTCTGCCCAAGTTACTACCAGTCCGTAAGCTCCCTGAGGGTGGGATTCCTAGTTTAGACTCGACATCAGAGTATTAGAGCCAGAAAGAACCTCAGATCCCCTATTCTGGTGGATGCCAGTCCTTTGCCCCCAGTCCTAGGATTCTAAATCCACATCTGCGAAGAATCTTTTGAAGAATCTCCCCAGGTGATTCTGGGGAGCAAGCAACTGGCCAAATACCCTTGATCTGGGATAACCAACTCCATTTTCCAGGAAATGCCAGGTGGCTAAGGGGCAGGCCTGGGAGCTGGGATGCACGCCAGGTCCATTTGCCCTTGACGCCTTTCCTTCAGGATCCCCCAGGGCGGCCGGGCCGGGTGGGCGGCTACCTGGGTGGAATGCTGCAGGATGGCCAGCAGCCGCTCCTGGATCCGCCGCAGCAGCTCCAGGCCCGTGCTGAGGTGCTCCGCCCGCAGGAGGCGCAGCGAGGAGCCCAGGTCTCTGCAGCGCAGCAGGGTCTCTTCTGCAGAGGGGGCAGGGCACGGGGGCTCCCTCTCTTCTTCCCGTCCTTCCACAGATGCATACTGGACGCCCACTATGTGCCACCCACATCTACCGGGGCCTAGCGCCTAGAGGTGGGGACAGGTCGTAACCAAAGCAAAGGTTGGGTGAAGGGCTGTGTACTGTGTACCTGAGGACTGGAACTTTGTAACGGTGATAAGGCTATGAAGGACAGGAAGGGGACAGAGTGAAGGTGGGCAGCTGGCTCTGGTCACCCACCCGTTTGTGTGTCGGGGGTGGGTGCTGGGGGAGAGGGGGCAGGAGAGAGCACTGAGTGGGCAGGGCGCTCACCCAGGAGGATCTGCAGGGCGTTGGTGTGCAGCTCCAGGGCCTCGGTCTGCTGCTCCACCACGTCCACGTGCTCCGTGTCCTGGCTGTAGAAGCTGTACACGCAGGCGTAGGCCAGCACCTGCGGAGCCCAGGCGCCGACCCCGCTAAGGCCGCCTCACACCAGCTTCTTCCTCCCTCCCTCCCTCCCCCCCCAGCC